CATATTTACAAAGTCGAGTCACTTTTATTAAAATATTGAAATATTAGCCCGTTAGATGTTTATGTACTAATCATGTTTGTAGATCAGGATTTTCAGGTTTAATCCCTTCCGTGTTTATTGCCAAAGCCCATTCACGTGCCCAGGTGCTACTTGGATGGGTAGAGGCAATGGGCACGATGACCTAGTTCATAAGAATAATAATTAATAAGCGGCTGGCATTGTGTTAGTATATCGTGCACGACGTAATTTCCACATATGGTGTGTGTGTTTTTAGGCTGTGGGATTGCGTCGGTTTAGTAACTTTTTCATTTAACTTTTAATTTGAAATAATATTTTATTCAACAAGATGTACAATGAACGTACAAAGCAAATAGTATTATTACCATTACTATTACAATATTGCCATTATTATTACAATGATTATTACCATTATTATGAAATATTCTATATCAAAGTAGTTAATTAAATTTTGTAATTATCATTATACGCAATGATTGCTAGCCTTGCCAGACGATTTCAGTGAAAAATGGTACGTACCGTAGAGTGTGATGTGAGATGAAACTCGGGTGACGGAGGCGTCCCGGGACGTTCTCCCTAGTTTAGGCTCTTGCGCCCGGGTGGAGTGTATGGGGGTCGTGGAATGAATTTTTGTGAGAATGTGATTTTGCCTTTTTTAAATATAGCGTTAGGTAGGTAGGTAGTATACCTTCTGGTGTGTGTGATAGATTGTAAGTAGGTAGGGCCGGGGCAGGTTGTCACAGTCTCTTGGTCGGGTAGGCGCGATTTCGCGTGATCAACCTGTACCTGGAATATATTTGAAGAATTGACGATACCATCGATACGAACGGAGTATGCCGTTCGTCTTCGATTCTATCTGTACAATTTTTCAAATTTTTGGCGACTTCATAAGTCGTCATACGCGATCGCGATTGTACGAAACGCACAAGTTCTGCTCGAGCATGGCACGTGTGCACGAACAACGACTTATATAAAGTCCTTTTTCGTCCACGTGTCAATTAGAGTTTCGCGATTTTTCTTTTTTGTTGATTGTTTTTTTTTTGTTTTGCGAATTTGCAAGTCTCGAGCTTTAGATATAAGTTTCAGGTGGGTGGACCGCCCGAAGAAAGAAAAGGCTATATGCCGAAGCGCCCCGACAAACTGTCTTTCAAGAGGGGAACTACTAATGATTTTGCATCCTTTTGCTAAAAAGGATGGGAAATCATTATCGTTACTACTTTGTCACTGTGCTCGCCTGTAGTTGTAGTTTTGTAATTTCAGGACAAGAGGGGGCCCGTGACCCCCATGATTTTGGGCAAATCGCGTTTTCAATTTAGTGTTGCGAATATTGACTACGGTTCAATTTAGTGTTGCGAATGAATATCGATCACGGTTCAATTTAATGTTGCGTATGTATGATTATCGCGATTTTCATTTAATGTTGCGAACTTTAAATATCGCGTTTCATTCTTGCATTGCTTTAAAATAGAATTGAACTTTTCAATGTTGGTTGCTTTAAGATTTTTGAGAGTTTTGCTTTTTAATGTTGATTGCTTTAGTGTTGCGAGAAAAAATTCACGGTTTGAGAATCCCCTTTTTTTGCATTTTAATTGCATGTCTGTTAAAGATAGCGTTGCGAATGACATTAGCGCGATTGTTTCCCAGTGTTGCGACTTATAAATACGCGATTGCTTTGCATTAGTTTATAGAGTACCCTGCTAATTAGTGTTGCGGTAATGAATATTCGCGTTTTGCATTAGAGTTGCGATATATGATGAAATGCCCAAAAACGATCCAGTGGAGTTGCCATGGTCCATAAGGCAGCTATGGACCAGCTGCCATGATACAGCCTTGGATTGGCTGTACCCCTTTTTTAGATTAGTGTTGCGTCTTACAAAATTCGGTAGATTTGAGTAGTGTTGCGTTACAGTTCGCGTTTGCTCTTTTTTTCTTTTTTTCAGCTTAGCGTTGCGTATAATGGAGCAGCCTTCACGCGTATGCTTTTGTACATATTATATAATTAATGAAATTAGTGTTGCGACTGAATTTGCGATTGTTATTAAATTTTTTACTTTTTTGCATTTATTAAATTAGTGGAAGTAACTATGACTCGCATTCGGTGGGAATCCATTGCTAGTCAAGGATTCCGCGGCATAAGACCGTGAACACCATCTCTGGGAGATATACCTATGCATTACTAGGCCTTTGCAGGCGCAGATTTAGAATACGGAACACTTCCATATGTTACCATATTCTAATCTGTAGTCCTTTTGTCTATACTATGGGCGTCCGTCAATCTGACACCGTTGGATGCAACGTGTTGGACGGGCGGGTAGCGCTCTTAGCGAAGGGGTGCACTCTGTCCTGGCGTTACGACGTCCAGGCGGGGTGGGTGGTATGTAGCGTCTGGCGTAAGTCTAGGGGGCGTGAGACCCTTCGTTGCCAGCCGATGTTTTGTCATAGTTCAGAAATGTTTGCAATTTTGAAATTAGTGTTGCGTGTAATTTCGGTTTGTTTTATAGGGTTTGCTTAGGGATTGCTCTTATGGGCAGTCAAACTTTTCTTTTCAGGCTCCCCTGTACCTTCCCTCCCACTGCCACGCCCCCATTCTTTTTTCTTCCCATTTTTTAATTTTGAAAATTTTGAGCATTCGGTTATTGGAAATACTGTTAAATAATATATGAATTTAATGTTTTCAGGATATTATTAGATACGATAAAGTTTTAAAGAGAACTTTATTCAAAGTTTTATTTAAAATGGAAATTCATTTTATTTTTTGGTGATTGGTGATAATTTATTTCACGGAATATTTGTTTATTCGAGATAGCTTATTAATTTTTATTTTACTTTATTTAAACAAAAGTAGTGGATAATTGTTGTTCGAGTTGTTCAGTTTTAATTTTTGATCGCGATGTTTCGTTACGGAGAAACTAATTAAAGTAGTGCTCTTTTATAAATTTTCAAATTCTTTTCCTGTAAACTGAAGTCCAATCGCGATTTTGTTTTAGTTTTACTATTTACAACAAACTTGCACTATAAAGGTGTATTGATTAATATAATGCAATAAAGTTCGGTAGAGTCATGATTGTACGTACTTACATTGCAATAAAATACAATTGTTTCAATTAAAAAAATTGCGTAGTGTTTATCGATAAATGAACGAACATTAAGTTTGATAAAATGAAATAATTAATATTCCTAACTCAAATCATTTATTGAATGACAGTATACGTTTCTAAATCTTTCTTTTGTTTATTTTGGTACTGAAATCCAATTGATTTTTCCTCTTTTCATTGGAAATAAGTTATTAACAACTACTCTAAATTTGGAAAATTTTATTTGTATTAATGCATCTTCTTTTCAGCCATTAAATTTTGTTTGTCTTTGTATGGATTCAATTAATGAGTTTTTGTTACAGAAGTACCTTTATAGGAAGTGTGGATTGGGGATTTGAACTGGAAGAAATTTAATATGAAATATAAGATCGAAAGATGGAATTCAGTGAATCCAATTAAGATGATGTGAAAACGATTGAAAAAGGAAGAACTGATTATTTTTGAAAATTGTCTAATTCTTTTTATTTTCTTTCAGGAAGTAGTCTGATAAGAATACTAAAATCCACAGACTCATTATACGTCTTTACTTATACCCTTTTAAATTTTTATGTAAGCTGATTGTAAGTTTATTGATATATGGGACAATCCTCTAACCATAAAGTCATTATAATCAGGTAATTGAAAAAGTACATATAATGAGTAGTCTTAAGCACTGCAGTGTTTAATTAGATTTAAGTTTTATAGTTAAGTGTATTTTTAAGATGATTACGAGCGCTCGTATACGTAAATATTCTTAGTATTTGTAAGTATGTAGGACAAATATGCAATTGCATATTTATTAATTACAGATCTGTAATCAATATAAAAAAAAATGTAGTAGGATTAAAAAACAAAAATGTAAGTAGACAAGTAGATAGGCAGGTAGTAAATAGAATAATGCTTCTTTTGCTGTTCGTTTGCACAACAATGAAAAGCGTTTTGCAAATGTGCATCAAGAGGATGATATTGTTAATTGTATATAAAAATTTGCATAAATGGAGGGTGGATGGGATGAGGATAGGGCGGGTCTCCACCCGCAGCAACCTCCTCGTGGTGAGACCTGGGCAATCGTTATTATTTGATGGGTAATTAATAAATGGATCATTATTTTTATGGTACGTTTATTAATTATACAGCAAATAATACGAGCGAATTGGCTGCGAGATTTGCATGCCATTTACAGATTTCTACTCTTTTGCAAGAATTAGCAGCGTGTTGCAACACCAATGCGTCGCGACAGGTAAAACCTTGGTGGACATTAAAATCAGTATAAGACCATAAAATGGATAAATATTTGTTTAACAAACTTGTATTTTAAAATAGAAAGACCGCCATAATTCATGTATGTTTTAAATTCGATTATGGCGGTATCTATACAAAAATGGTTGAAACTACTCCATTGTTTCAGAAAATCAATCGGTAAGTTGTCGAATAGTTTTAGTCGTTCTCATATAGATAGCGCTAAGATCGAATTTTCAAAATATTTGTTTTATAGCGGTGTTTTTAAAATACATGTTTGTCAACCAATTATTATAAAAATTTGACAGTCTTGTGCTGATTCTGATTAATTTAAAAAGAAATAGAATTAGAGACAATCAAAATTGTGTCTTTTCAGTTGTGACTGCAAGGTGTGCTAGAAGAGGGACTGGCAAATCAGACACGATTGTTATACTACCTATGCAAACCTAACTTGATCTGTAATTACTGCTTTAGTGTGAGCACTCTCCATTCATCTCTCTCAATATCATCAAAATTAAGGTTTTGAGAATTTCCATCTCTGTAATGCCATTTTCCCTACAGAAAACTACTGTGCTCGATACTGTAGATCTCTAATTTTTAAGGAATTGGCCGCTTGGTGCAGCACTTCGGAGACGAGGAATTCCCAAACATGAGCATTTATTTCCTCTCTGGTAAACAGTAGAAATATGTAACATATCACGCAGGCGCAAAATGTATTAAAGTCTCGTCTCGTTTTCCAATATTCAACGTACTTCATATCAGTTGCTCGTAGCAGATTCAGTTTGACGGTTGGTGAAGTGGGGGACTGAGACTTCTTCGTACAACACGCAACAGCACGTATATTTTGTGTAAATAGGCGAATCTGATTAATGATATAGTCTGATTGAAATAATTACCATTTCAAGCAGATACAATCAATTGTTTGTATAAGGATCTGAAACATACTTCTATAAACAGGTAAATAAATTTAACTTATGTTCGGCGCACGAATGTGGTTATCGATTGTAACCATTTCTAGAAAGTGCGCATGACGCATTAATTGACGTATATTGTTACTACGTTTTCCGGTTGAATATTGTTTATAAAAATGTAAACAAAAATTGTATAACATTAATGATAATAAAAATATTATTTAAATGTATTGGCATCATCGTGAACTGTTCGTTTTGATATTTCATTCCGCTAACTGTTAATGCAGGGAAACGTTTTAGTCTGGTGGATGTTATTTCATAATGTCATGACTTTGCTTTTCGACCAGAGCAAGCTTCTCCGGTGTAGTTTAATGTTAATTGAAGCCAAAATAAATTGTCATTATTAGTTACTGAGTAAGATACGTGACGATATTGTTCAACCTACGTCTCACTTAGGCTTGACGAAATTCGATCTGCTTTTTGCTTCTCTTTTTTTCTCGTAAAGTTGCAATTGGAATATGCTATATCTATTTTTATAATAAGGAATTATTTTTTTTAACAGTGACGCCGGATTATAAGTGACAGCGATGTGACGTTTAAAATCGTACATAGATCGTAAATATAGTGGTAATTATTAACTAGTGATTGTACCGTTATTTTCAGCTGACTTTATCCTTGAAAAATTAACACACGTTAATTATACTTACATTTACAGTATTTGAACAAATAATGATTACATTAATCTCTGCTTCTAAGAATTAACCGTTTCAGATATTATTTTTATATTATCCCATATATGTGATAATACAGTCATTTTAAGATAAGATAATAGATACCTATCTTACGTTGAAACTTCTCTAATACCAATTGAAAAATGCTCACAAAATATGTATATGTATATATGTTTGTTTATCATTTGTATTAAGAGAATTAAAAGTAACAATATTTAAAGTACTAATGTATTTAAATACTAACTTCTGTTGATTATAATAACTACATTAAATTATTCATTTATGTTGTTGTTATTATAAAAAAATACTTTGTTTAATATTGTAACTTAAAATAACTGAAGTACTAAATGTATTATGCATATATGTTTGTTAGATGCTTTTAATATAATAATACTCTAAATAAATAAAATGGTATGAAGCAAAGTGAAAAATTGCTTTTTCACTAATTTTACATATTTCATTTTAAGGCTGCTGATACATTCGTGCGCTGGTGTTCCATTGAAATTTTTTTTTTAACAATGCTTTATGATAATGGTAGATTCTTTTTTAGTTAAACCAAACTCAAAAGATGGCAACTTGGCAGAGTACACCTGGTGCAGGATATTATCCAGGGCAACAAGGTTCTGACCTTTTTCTAAATTATAAATATTCTTTATTGTCACATATTGTTTACGTATGTTCTTAACATGTAACAGAATATTTAGCAACCTTTAAGTACCGTGATGCTTGTTTCAAGTGGCAATCATCGATCAAAACCATCTATAACACATCCATTCATCCACCTGTCATAATTTATACTTAGTAGCAGTTATTAGAAAATTAATACTATTTGCATATTTATCAAAGAATTTAAAATAATATTAAAATATTGATTGCATCATCTAGGAAGCACTATACAAATTAAAAAGAAATTGTATCATTAACACTAAAAAGCAGATATGCATCAACATTTAGCAGCTGTTACTAAAGTGCAAAGTTTTATGAAAATTGATGCTTGAATTAGAATGAAACTGCTACTGCAACATAATGTTTTATATGATTACAATTCATTTGTGCAGGTTACCCTCAACAAAATCCTGGGTATCCTCCTCAGGAACCCTATAATCAAGGATATCCACCTCCTTACGGTGCAAATCCACCAGGTCACTTAAATTTTTAATATCTTAATTTATATACAGTGAGAGGCAAAAGTTAGTAGACACTGTTCAAAATAGAATACCTCGGTTGAAATTGGACTAAATAATTTGAGGTTTTTTGAGAAGCTATAAAAATTACTTCACTAAAATATGTATTTTTAACGTGACTAGTTCCGTTCTTAGATGAAAAGTCGCGATTTTTGGAAATTTTAATTACTTATGACTTTTAAATACGTTGACCGATTTCGATGAAATTTTCAGCATACAACACATAACTTATCTGAATCTACGAAAGACATATTTTAAATTTTCATTATAGACTCATAAAAAAGTTGAAAAATTACTATTCACTATTTTTTTCACGATTTCAACAAATTGTAATTTTTTAAAACGATGAAAATACATATTTTAGTGAATTAATTTTTATAGCTTCTCAAAAAACCTCAAGTTCTTTAGTCCAATTTTAACCGAGGTATTTTATTCTGAACAGTATATACTTACTTTTGCCTCTCACTGTATATTGTATATACAACATGTAATTCATTTATTCTTTTATAATTTAACAATTTTTGTATTTTTATTATAGGTCCTGGTTTCATTCCTCCAGGCGCTCCTCCCTACGGACACGTTCCACCACCTGGTCCAGGATTTGCTGCAGGACCACAACCAGGCATGTACGGGACAAACTATGCAGACGACTCTATGCCACCCGAAGTCAAAGGGTTTGAATTCAGTGAAAAATCCATCAGAAATGGATTTATTAGGTTTGTATAATACTTGATAATATCCTGTTACATTTGTATAATCGATTTTTTCCTTTTTTTTTCAGAAAAGTATATAGCATACTGATGTGTCAGCTTCTGATTACAGTATCATTGATATCGTTGTTCCTTTATCATCGTCCAACGAAAATGTGGGCGATGGCTCATCCAGAAATGTTCTGGATTTGTTTTGTAGCAACTTTTGTTCTGATTATTTGTATGGCTTGCTGCACAAGTGTGAGACGAAAAGCTCCTATGAATTTCATATTTTTGTTTCTGTTTACAATAGCAGAAGGTTTTCTTCTAGCTGTTGCTGCTTCAACATACAATTCTGAAGAGGTAAGGTCTTAGGAATATATATATGAATTTTAATATTTGATATAAATATTAAATTTTGAAGTATAAAATAATAATTAAAAATATTTACAGGTATTACTGGCTGTTGGAATTACTGCAGCTGTTTGCCTTGCACTGACATTATTTGCATTTCAAACGAAATTTGATTTCACTGGTCTCAATAGTATTTTATTTGTTGCACTGATTATTTTTATGCTTTTTGGAATAATCGCAATAATCTGGAGTAGTAAGATTATGACTTTAGTATATGCATCGATTGGAGCTTTGCTGTTCTCTATTTATCTAATTTACGATACGCAAATGATGATTGGTGGTAATCACAAATATTCGATTTCTCCGGAAGAGTACATTTTTGCAGCACTGACTCTTTACATCGATGTTGTTAACATTTTCCTTTATATTTTAACCATTATTGGCGTCGCACGAGATTAAGTAGTATTACACACATTTTTGTCGTTAATCTCGAACGCATAATGCTTTTACTTACTATTATTCTGTTTTGACTCTCTTTGGGCAAAGAGAGAGTACATTACAGATAAGAAGCAATTAGAGATGTGAAAAAGATGATATTGGCAGAAAAAAAGTTAATTTTTATGAAATATAGCTTTTACACATTTTTTCAAGATATAGTTAACACAAAAAACTGTTTTAATGTTCGACCTCTAGTCTCGTAAGTCAAATAATTTCTATCATACTAAAGAAAGATAAGCTAAATCGTTAATACAGTTAAGAATGTGAATGCAAATAATAATATACAAAACATAAAAAGTTATATATACGTACGTTTAGGTATTCATTTCATTTCTCAATTGAGGAAAGTATTATATTCATTTTCATTGAATTTACTTAATGAAATAATTTATTTTCTGAAAAATAGATTTACATTTTGTAAATTTGTCATAACATAAAAAATATTACATAGATCCAGTAAACCAATGATCCATCTAATATGAATACTAGAAGTGTGTGAGAACCCGAATATCAGGATTCTGAGTCGTGGTTCGGAACGAACTTTGTTTAATACAGCCATTCAATAGTTATTTGCAAACATTTCCAATTCACGCTCATTACATATTGAACAAAGCTTGTTCTGTTACATGACTTTTGGTTTCTCGAAATCTCAGGAATCCCAACGTTATGTTTCACGAGGTACTTCATAAAACCTGACTCGAGTGTTGGGTATTCGACATTTTCAAGTTCCCGCACACATCTAATGAATATATTTTAGTAACATTAAAGTCGGTATAGTAGATTTAGTGATATATAATATTTGAATGTTATTAAAATTTCAAATTATTCTAGACGTATATACGCATTCATATTTATCCGTTATGTGTGTTGAAAAAATATGTTATTTGATCATATTTCCGTAATAAAAGAAATATTGTAAAATATTGATTAATATTTTAATTCCTTGAGATAAAAAGTTGTTTATTACATTGTAATATCTTACAGTAAGCCTATGTTGATACATTGTAAGAACAAAAACACAACTGTATACATTACGAAAAAAAAAACATAAATGTTAAGTTTAACAACACAAATGATTGTATTATAAATCAGTTCTTGGTAAATATTTAATATTCTTTATATTGTTTATCGCTGAGGGAAATAAAAAACAATTCTCTCGAAATCGTGAATGTTTATATTTGTAGTAAATTAGTTTTACACAAATAGAATAAAAGCTCTTGGTCTTCAGCTTTCAGACTTTTAACTTAAAGTTTAAATAAGTATATGTAGTGCAACGTCTGTATGAAAAAGCATTCAATGTTCACATAGATTTTAAAGATTAAAAAGCCCACATTCATTCTCACTCTTCTCATTATGGTAACAAATTGCAGCCTCATAACAAATAAATTGTTTCTAGTTGACTTTGTTCGTGCAACAACGCATGAAATTTTACATAGAAAATAAAGCTCCATCAACAGTGTATGTTGATGCTTGTTCCTTATGTTCCTTATAAAAGCTGTGATGGAGCTTTAACGTTTGTATAAGTACATGCAACAGACACATTTATAAATACAATCATATATGTGACAAACAGCATTTATAACCCACCCTTTAAAACCCAGGTATAATTAAAAAACTTCACTTTTTAAACTGTAGTTACTTCATTTATAATTAAAATTAAATTTTAGATGTCTTTTTGTAAGAATTATCAAACAAGTTCAATTGAATTTGATTAGGCAGTGTTGCGAAGAGTTTAATTATATTATTATGCTTTAAATTATGCTCTAAATCTATCCACAAATCTATTTTGCGTGGCACGAGCTGATATATAGTTTATTATTATGCGCCATTAAAATAAATAATATAAAGTTAGCAGCACCGATTCGAACTTCTTTCCACCCTTCGATCGACTGTTACTCTATCAGGAGCATCTTGCGGTTCTTTACCATGTGTTTTTTCCAATATAGCTTCTGCTAATTCACTAAACGCACGATCAATATTGATGTTTGCTTTAGCAGATGTTTCCATAAATCTAATTCCGTGCTCTCTTGCTATCTAAAGGACATATTAACATGTTAATTTCCAACATTTACAAACTTCATAAAATATAAGTTTCAGCTACTTTATTACCGCTTCTCCTCTTTCTGTGCTAACAACACGTTTGTCTTCCATGTCACTTTTGTTTCCTAGTATCAATTTTTCTACATCTTCATTTGCATGCTAAAAATTAATTAAAAGTATATAAAATGAAATTCAAGTACTTGCATCTACGATCAGAAGTAGTTTACAACTATACTTGCCTCATCAATATTTCTCAGCCATTTGACAATATTTTCAAACGTTTTTTCATTAGTAATGTCATAAACTAGCATAATACCCATTGCACCTCTGTAATATGATGTAGTAATAGTATGGAATCTTTCTTGACCTGCTGTATCCCTGCAAAAGTATAGATTAAGGGCTGTTTAGAAAAATTAAGTATACCATGACTTACCATATCTGTAACTTGATTTTCTTTCCTCTTAATTCCACTGTCTTGATTTTAAAATCGATACCTGAACGACAAAAAACATTAAAATTTATTTACATAACACACTTCACAGTATATAAACATTTATATATGTATATAAAGAACATTCAATTTTATCAACAATGTTGATAACAAATCGTTTTACAGAAATGCTTTCTCCATGGTTACAAGATCGATACAATGGAACTACTCTTCAAGATTTGTTATCCATTAAACATTTTAATGATCTTATTTCATAGTGTTAGTTCCATTCTTGTAGCATAACCTGATGTGCCGAAAGAAATTCGCAATGTCGAACGACTCAGATTCACGAAATATACTGATATGATAAACCACGATTATTCATAACGGATTCCTTACCTATGGTAGAAATGAATGTTGTTGAAAAAGCATCGTCTGAAAATCTGAATAATATACAAGTTTTGCCGACTCCGGAATCACCGATGAGTAATAACTTGAACAATAGATCGTACGTCTTTTTCGCCATTTCACTGTTGCTCCGCGTTAACGAGGCGCTGAAGAAAACAAAAAGAGTTGAACCTGTGGAGCACGATTAACAGTTTTCCAGACGATGTTTCGAACATCGAACGTTATGAACGATTATAGGTTTCAAGGTCGGACGAGGGCGCGTCTCGACGTACAACGATGCCTCGTTAACGACGGAAAAACCGGTCACAGGGGCTGACTATTAAAAGACAATACGACGTCATACAACAGAGCAGCACGCAGAAGCATCGGGGTAACTTTGCACTTCTGACAAAACCTGAACGTCACGACATCAGTTAAACAATGATTCCTACAATACTCCTTTCTTCGCCTTAATTAGTGATAATCAGAAAATTGTATCGGGTTCAATTGCAAATATTCCAGCTACCACGGGAGGTCACCACCACTGCAAGAATAATGTTAAATTACTCGAATACTAGATAAGAGACCATAAAGTTATTGCTTATTTTATCGATTTGATGTTATTGATTCCTATGTATATTTTATCCTTTCTGTATCGATATGCGTTAAAATAAGACATTAATAGTTTGCGGCGCAATATGCTTTTTTCTTACATTTAAGATAATTGTTATGTCAATAGCAATTTTAAGATCATTGAAGAGGTGTGATGTTTTTCCATGGATCTTTTTCAAATATTTACATATCGAAATTTAAAGCTGATAAAGTATATCGTTAGTAATTAAAATGTCTGTAATAGAATTCGTTTATTATTCATCACCTCTAGGTACGGCACGAAGATGTGCCGACGAGTACATAATTAATTGATCACAGTATACATTATGCATCTAAATGCACTTGCAAGCAGAAATCGTAAAGGGTAGTAATGGGTTCAAAATCTAAAATACTCCTGAAACTGTATAATGTAAGTTTTAAAATGTCTTAGATTGTACATATGTGCACGAAATATCTTAAGAATTTAAGAAATTTTCAACAATCTAATTGCTCAACGAAGTTTAGAAAAGTTTTCAAGTATGCGGATTTAATTTAAGTGGTGAAAGTTGCATCGAGTTAAATTGCTTTTGATAGAGACGATAGAATGCCCATCACTAGGCGATAAATACGAAGGAGTTTGTTTCAGAATAAGAAAGATAGATGGCGATTTGTAGAAGATACTATTATTGTCACCTTCCTTTGCAGTTTGCAGTTTTTGTTGGCAGTCAGCGGTAGCACGAGGGCGAACGGTCTGCCGCATTGGAGGACAAAAATCGTACCCGCATGGGTCTACATTAAATTTTCTTACGTATAATTAAGAGTATGGCAGCAAAGATGCAGCATTTCGATCCGCCAAGCTCAGCAAGTTCTGACAGGTGGGTTAACAACATTTCTTTACTATCGGTTTCTCGTCTGTGAATTAACAGTATTGGATTTTCCGTAATTTAGCGAGGATAGAGAAATTTGCGTGGACGAAAGAGAAATTTTTCTAGCTGATGAGCTCTGCGAAGATGCTGAATATTATAAACGTTCCGATATCGGAATTCCTACACCGCAATCTCCGAGGCCACCTTCAAGAGGTAAAATATATTACTAATCTTCAAAATAATCTCATTTATCATTGATACAATATCTCGTTTACCATCTTCTTATTTCTGTAAAAATTAGGTGTTTCTTATTTATTTTCACAAACAATAGATTACACGCTATAATTATTTACAGAATCAATGATTTGGAGTACTTGTATTTGGCAATCAAGATGTAATTGGCGCACTGAAGTAGAAACCTTCTGTAATTTGAAGAAGTCTAAATGTTCCAAAAGTACCATATCCTATTACCTTCTACCTTTCTTGTTCCTACTTTTCTTTTGAAACTCTTTGATATAAACATTATGTTCTATTCATTTTCATAAAATATTCTGAATCTTCTAATTATATAAAATTTCTTCCTTCTTTATTATAATAAATTATTTAATGTATTTTAACGAAAAATGTTCAATTATGTAATAGGATCTCAGAGATCTCCAAGATCAAGAAGGCAGCGTACTACCAGTTTAACACAGTCCAGTAAGAAGACCTCTGCAGAGTCCATCCTTAGAAGTAAGACAAGAACAATATACACAGCTGGTAGACCACCATGGTATAATTCAGCTGGACAACAAGTAGAACCTTTTGTGATAGGTTGGTAACATAATATATGTTTACTAATGTTTCCTAGAAGAGAATTTAATGGTATTACTAGTTTCATTTCAGGTATTTGCGGGGGTAGCGCATCTGGTAAAACTACAGTTGCAACAAAAATCATAGAATCTTTGGATGTACCATGGGTCACGTTACTTAGCATGGATTCATTCTACAAAGTATGAAAAACTATTGTTTCTTTCTTAATGAATATTAAAAATAAACCGATGAATCATGATGTGAACAACTTCTGGTATAGGTATTAAACGAAAAGCAGCACGACATGGCAGCGCGTAACGAATACAATTTCGATCATCCTGACGCTTTTGATTTCGAACTTCTTAAGACGACTTTACAGCGTTTGAAGGAGGGTAGAATGGTGGAAGTTCCTATTTATAATTTTGTAACACATAGTAGAGAAAGTAGAACTGTAAGTTGATACTAAAGATACAAGTATTCTCTAAGTGTTGAATGTGCTGTATGTACTTGGTATTTTCTCTTGTTCTGCAGAAAACAATGTACGGTGCCAATGTTATTATATTTGAGGGAATATTCACTTTCTACAATGTCGACGTTTTGAAGGTAAGCCGACTATCAGGAAAGCGGGAGGAATGGGCGTGACAAACGCAATAAGATACAAAAGTTAAAAAAAAAATAAAAAAAAAAAAAAATAAAAAAAACAACACAAATTACCACTGATCTGCTTTCTTCGATTGGTCAAGATGTGCGACATGAAGGTGTTTGTTGATACTGACGCTGACGTGAGGCTTGCACGAAGATTACGTAGAGATATATCTCAAAGAGGAAGGGATTTGGAGGGTGTATTAAAGCAGTACAGTACTATGGTGCAACCCGCTTTTTACTATTATATAGCTCCCCTAATGGTACACGCGGATATTATTGTTCCACGCGGTGGAGAAAACGAGGTCGCGATAGAACTTATTGTACAGCATGTACATACTCAGCTTCAATTGGTAAAATCAACTGTTCCTTGAATACTATTTTAATGTATTGTATTTACTTATAATTACTTCCAATTTTAGAGGGGTTTCAAACTCAGAGAAAAATTAGCCCACTCGTCTATCGGTCAGCCACTACCCTCTTCTCTTTACTTGCTTCCAGACACACCACAAATTAAGGGTCTGCATACATTTATAAGGAACAAAGAAACGTACAGAGATGAGTTTATATTTTATTCCAAGCGTTTAATACGTTTGGTCATCGAGTACGCCTTATCTCTTTTGCCATTTGAGGTAAGAGTTATATTGTCAAAATGTAATTGATCAACTTTCTTTCTATCGTTATTATCATTTCTCGTCGCGTATTTAAAGGACGTGACCGTAGAAACCCCTCAGGGTGTATTGTATCCCGGAAAACGCGGGGCCACAGATAAGATATGTGGTGTCTCTATTTTACGTGCCGGTGAAACCATGGAACAAGCTGTTAGAGATGTATGTAAAGATATAAGAATAGGAAAGATACTTATACAAACGAACCAACAAACTGGAGAGCCGGAGGTAATTAGCCGGAGATCTTTCCTTTCCTAATAAAATCTATATATATATCACTAATACTTTTTACAGCTCTATTATCTCCGGTTACCCAAGGATATTAAAGACTACAGGGTAATACTAATGGACGCAACGGTGGCAACAGGTGCTGCTGCCATCATGGCAATCAGAGTTTTATTGGATCACGATGTTGCCGAAGAGAATGTGTTACTTGCATCTTTGCTTATGGCAGAATCTGGTGTACACTCAATCGCCTACGCGTTCCCACGCGTTAAAATTGTTACTTCCGCCCTGGATCCTGTGATAAACGAGAAATTTTACGTTTTACCCGGTATCGGTAATTTTGGAGATCGGTACTTCGGTACCGAGCCATCTTCTCTCGAAGATTAACACGGTTCAAAAGGATCTGATTCATGAATCTACTTAATTATTTAATCTCTGTTGTTATAAAGCAAATGCAGTAATTCCATGTATCTTTAATAAAAAGTTGTGTTATACCCGAGGAACGTGGGCAACATCCGTGCTGGTCGAGCAGCATATGTGTCAATACAAGTGCAAATTAATTCGACGAATCGAATGAAGTTTTATTTACTAAATTTTTTGGAGTTAAAGCGGCGTTGTGTCGACGTTGGAGCCAACCTCGCCTCCCTCAGCAGTGGCACCCGTACTGCGTAATTGTCTGTAACCTCGTGAACTTGCTCGACGGGAACGTCGCCAAGAATCCAAGTTCACAGAATTGGCGTTGTTTGACTGTCCAAGAAGATACGTGACCAGTCGATCAAGAGCGGCCAAGTCCTCTTTCGTGCTAACGGAATTTTCTAATCCATCTGCTGGACGAAAACCATCGGATCCAGTAGCTTCTTTGAGTTCAGTGTTCGCAATGTTGCTTACACTACCAGCGGTGTGGCGACCAAGTTTTGGCGTGAACTGTAACAATGGTATTCGACGCAAGTGTTTGTATTAAGTTTTTGATTTATGTATCAGTGAATTTAATTGGTTGTGTAATTATATTATTATCATTATTTGTTATAGAATGCATAAAATATTTATGTTACCTCTTCCGGGCCGTGTTGGCCGTAGCTCACTCTTTGAACCTTGCGAAACGTCTCGTCGTCTGCGGCTTCTCGCAATGCTTCATTTAACGTTTGCTCTAATGCGCGTTGTTTCGTTTTACTCAGACCATCGTAAAAACTGCCGCAGATGATTATTTTTAATATCGTGAAATTTTTACACGAATGCAAAATAGTCTCGAATTAAACGATCAAATTAAAAAATCAAATAAGTACAGAAATATTCATTCGTTTGGTTGTGTTAATTTGTTCGTTCAACTCGAACATCACGTGGTCTGAAAATATTTCTGTTACCTCGAGTCTACCGAGCTGTTATCTCGTGAAATATTCTTATCACGAACCAGCCGGATATCGTGCTCCCAAAAGCGACGTAATTCCGGTGTAGATGTGTACGGTGCAGCTACTTCTTTAATCTAGAAGAAAACCATAATTCGTACTGTGAATGGTATTGTACCAGCTAAACGAAAAGAGAAATATTATACGATATATTTAGAAACATTTTGTTGTACGAATTCAATTTCTTATCCCGTTATGTTTCAGATAATAAAAGAAAGAAATCAGAGCAACGCGTTTGTTGCGGATGGCGCAAGAAACTAAAGATATAGTAGTTGGAGAGCAGTAAACACAGGAGGTATATAAGAACAAGTATCTCGTGCGAGAAGTCACGTATGGGAGTTTAAAAATACCTCTCCTACTTTGCTGCTTCCCAGCTACCGGAAGTTTGGTTCCTGGCACGATTCATAAGGTGGCATTGTTTCAATTTTAGCTTGAAGTAGAATATCCAATTGTAAAAAAGGCTCTTAATAGTTTCTTATGTAACTTCTACCCCCAAATTGATTGTGTAATTAACAATTATGTAATTAACTAGTATAATTATTAAGTAGTTAATAACTTCACTTTTTTGTAATTATTGTGAAAATTAGATTAATTTTCAATTTCTTTATTTTACCCACCTTTAGCACTATGATTGCCGTGATAAAGATGCACATTACGTTGATAAATGTCAGACAGGCACTGATTATGCCATTGCAGAAGAATTCTACTGGTAGATAATCAGTATACACGTAGACGTACGAGGAGTTGTAGTCAGTGTAAGATTCCCCTTTTATGTGTGGCATTTTAATCGGACGATAAATTAACCATATGCACCCTAGAGCCCAAAATAAACCCTACCAGAATGAAAATTATAGATATTGAATCGACTGGTTTTTGCTACTTCAAGAATGCAAATTTGTTATTCGTTACTCACGCAATTTACTACCGGGGGTAGTAAAGAAGCGGATATGGCAACGCCAATCAAAGGACCATTACTTCCTTGTAATAAAGCTACGGCTACACCAGTACCTGATGGCAAAGCCCATAATACACCCATCCATAGTGATCTATAATTACCTCTACCAGGAAATAACAGAAATAAGATTTCAGGTTTTCAAGACTCATATTTCCACATTGAAAAGGGAAAGATAATAAAAAATTTAAATAGCAGCACGGTTAATTGAATTATTCTATTGTGAAGCTTTTTCTAATTTAATTTGTAATTTTTTGTTTGTAGAAATACATACCTGCCTTTCATTTCATCGGTCGGCCAGTCGTTGTAACCCCAAGGCATCTCTGTGGTGCCCAAAATCAGACCAAATATAAAGCCAAAGAGGATCGAGACAAATATTCCAAGTAGCAGACTTTTTAAGCCATCACATTGAAGATTTCTATCGGCTATGATGGTCCCGAAGGTTAACGACATTACGGGACCCTTGAGATAGCGATTAAGAAATAAGTAAGTTAATAGAAAATTAATATAATTAAATGAAATTGAGTGTTACCATTAAGGGAGAGACCAACATGGCCGCAACAACGTTTGTCGCACTGTTTTCGATGAGACCAAGTGCTGCTAAACAACTATGAAAGATAAAAAAATAGTGTAATATATTTAGCGAAAATATTTTCCATCAGTATCCACCACCTTTCATTAAATTTTTATGTATCCCTAATATAATTATTCCCCTGCTATCGTTTAATTTATTTGTTAATTTTCTTTTCCCAGAAAATAAAATGAATAAGAATAAAAAATAAAATATTTCTCACTCAGCTGTCAGTACTAGCAACACGTAATCGAAAGTAAGATCACCACCACTGCGAACGCCATCCACAACTTGTTTCACTGTCAATTTCGACCGTATTGATTCCACGAACGCTTTCCAGGCATTCTTCCTATCTTCCGATTCTTTTCGTCTGAAAAAATTGCAGTAACAATTTAATAATCCATTATATTGTTTCTCTGATTAGTAGAACGAATTTCTTCGCAATGGACACCTTCGTGCTAGATCATCCTTGATGGCCGTGTAAGCGGAACCACCACCTACGCCACTGTACGTGCACTGGGTCGGAATCACACTAAAAATCATTGAGAATTTAGACACATGTTACGTTTAGTATAGTAGAGAACGATATTCGAGGCGAATCACCTTACTATGGAGTTCATTTTCACACCAATCCCCATTTCTGTTAGACAGTGCAGACAATTCTCGCATGGTTCTCCAGCTGGTACCGGAAATATCACCTGAACAAGAAAATATGACTGTAAGTAACGAAAATTGATATTGGTATTGTCTTACCTGGTAATACATGTCTTCTTTGTCTTTGCACCAGACGACGTGTTCTACTTTCAATTTCTTCAGCAATTCATCCAGAACCTTAAAAAGTTAACATTTATTTGTCGGTTTTTAATATTTAAAATGAAAATGAAAAACATATTTATAAGGGTGATAGAAATTTCTAAGGGTACGTGTACTCAGTCGAGAGTAAAACTTACGGAAGTAGCTCTCGATAGGATTTTTTGCCAGTGAACACTGCGCTGAGAGTTACTCTCAGCTGATTAATAATCACTTTCAGATCGTTTCTCGCGCGAGTTTTTTGTCTACTCTCGAGTAAACACCTACCCTTAGCAAATGGTTCCTCTCGAAAGCTTGCAAACGCTCTCGAGAGCTTTTCACACCCGAGATTTTGTTTTTCAAATCGTATTACCGTTTCCATGGACACGAAAACCGGGTTTCTGTCCCTTTGGCCGGGAACTCGGCGCCCTTGCCCTCTTCTTCTTCCAGTCGAATCATCCTCAGCTTCCACGATACTTTGCAATTCGTCTTGGTCATCGAGCGTCAATAATCGAGTTCTCGTTCTTGTTTCTCTCAGACGCAAATTCACTTTTGGTCCAATCACGAATTTTCCTTTTTCATTCTTCTTATTTAGTTTCGAGGGCACACCAAATATCAATTCGTGTTCGTAGCTGTACGTGGGAATGCAGACTAGAAATACGACACCACCAGGCATCGTAGGGTAAAATAATTTAAACTAATAATTGTTCAGTTGGATTCAGTCTGTGGATGTCGTGTCACAGTTACGCGATGCTTCTTTCTGTAGCATTTGACTACGAGTAGAAGCACCAATTTCATTAACCGATCGCTAATCACTTTACTACTCTGGTTTTAATTAACGCGACTTCGTGGAAGAGCTAGTTGGTGCTTATTCTTCTTCTGAAATATTTTCGGAGCTTTTGTTATGCTGATCTTTTTTATTTGTTTTCAAATTCTTCTAACCAGTTGTTAACTTTCATATTTTGTTTTTAGGAAGGAAAATTAAGTGATTCAATTATTTGTGCTTTTATCAAAAGAGAACTATATTTTGAAAGATTAAGGAAAAATGACAAGCTAGAAGGAACAAGGACGTTTTCAAAGGTAATGTAATTAAGATGTTCATTCTTTTTTACGAAATAAACATTTATTTTAACAAATCAACAGCATAAAGACTAGCGTCTAGAGACTAGCCTGACGTTTCATCCGACCTAGGTAACTAGAGGCCGCCAGGAATTATATCGCGCGAAGGGAAATTTCGAACTCGTTTACGATTTTTACGAAAATTGAAATATCTCTCCCCTTCTTTGTTTCAAGCACGCGGTTTCAAGCTGAATGTGCGTGACAAACATTGCCCTCTAAACGATGAGTCTAAATTAACGTACGTATTCCTAATTGACGAGAAACATGGTTTCACATTAACTATAACATCATTTGTCATTTTCATAGTATCCACGATTTTGAAATATCTTTCACTTTTATTTAAATAATAAAATGTTTGTTGTACGTTATTGAGGGCAATTTCAATGTGAACAAGCAGCGTGTTCAAAGCTTGAAAAATCAGTAAATTGTACTCCCTTTTCTCAAAAGGGAGGGTGCGTATCATGTACGAGAACTAGGGTGCGCCAGTATCCGAAAATTTAGCTCGGGCTAGGATTGGAAATTTTTTTTCGAGTTTGGGCGGGGCCGCGAAATTTCGTCTAGCACATAAATTTATTCGAGAATCCATAATTTCGGGTACTTAAATGAATTTATCTGTTGGACGAACTTTAGGTGTTTTGGCCGACCCGATCCGACCCGATCGTTACCCAAACCGACCCGAGGCTCGGGTACCCATACGTCCCAACGAGAACGTTTGTTAATTATTTAATTAGACAAATTTTGTGTATCGTAAAAAGTATTCATGAACGTATTGTAATATTAAGATTCTTTTCTTTATCGTGGTTGGAATTTAATAACGCAATACAGATGCTTCTTTCGAACGTGTAGAATTCATGTTCTGTTACTATAAATATATTTTTAGCACTGATTCCACGTGTTTCAATAAGAAGAATGTTCTTATCACACATACAATACGTCCAAGGAAATCTTAAGACTAACAAGCGACTTTTGGAATGCAAATTAAGACTCATGATTAATTATAGTATATTTACACTACGGTTAGGATTATTTCTCGTCGGTTTCGAATTCTACGAATGTCTTTGTTTGATTTTCAAAAGTCGCTTACGATTAAATAACAAAGGAACAAAGAAATGTCTGTACGAACTTTCTTCATTTCCGTACGTTGAATCAATTAGTTTAAAGAGGTAAACTATCTATAAATATTTCATAAAGAATTAATATTGAATATTACAAGAGTCATTCAATAAGTAAAGAATTTTATGAAATTTTAAAAAGATTAATTTACATTGTTAAATAAAATTACTTATTCTAGTATTTTTATTTGATTAGATTCTAACACTTTTTATATTTGTTTCTTTTTTATAAATTAAATTATTTTATTATAATACATAATTAATGTGAACTTGACGACATAGGCTGTTTTCAGATAAAGATCTTAAAGCTTTTTTCTTTATACTTATTGAACGACCCTAGTATAAATTAAAAATAAAAATAAATTTGTCTATAAATTTTTCTTTAATTGTTTTCAGTTTTTCGAGAGAAATTAACATCAAATAATTCCACTGATCTTCTCTAGTTACTCAAGTTCGTTGGACAATCGCATTTTCGACCATTTCATTTAATCCTAAACAATAAAAGGATAATGGGTCAGTGTATCATTCAATTCCATAAGCACATGAAAATCCTTCAATTCTCATAAAAACCCGAATTCTAGTGTTTCCCTTTGCACCAACCCGATTGGTTGCACACATGCACACACTCTGACACGCCAATGTTCCTATTTTCTCATTTTATGTCTGATAAATGATTGCAATAATAGTCATCGCGTTAACTTGCTACGTATACCTCGCTAAGAAACGTTTCTTATCTTTATTTCTTCTTTACTTTATGTACATATGGTGGTATCATCGGGTTAGATACTGACCTACGACATCTTTCGCGGTTGCTTTTCTACTTGTGACTCTTAGTTAATTACTTCTTTAATTAGTTAGTTAGTTATTATTTGTTTAAGGCCATACTTAAGGAGAGGAGCGTTTCATTAAACAACTTCCACGTGTCTATTTACCGCAAATAAAATTTCGACGATCCATAGTAAGACGTCAATTTCACATATTATACATGTATACATATGGTGTCCCATTATGAAATATTAATAGCTCACTTATGTGTTTTAGAAATAAATTTTTTAGCACTAAAAAATAAACTTTGCATTATTAATATAAATTGAATATATAAATTTATGAAGGAATAAATCTTTGGTAATACTAATAAATAAATTTGTTAGTAAATAAAAATTAGAAATGAATTTAATTTAAAAATGGCTTTAAGTAGATAATGATATACCTACAATTTTTAAATATACGTAATTTGCAAACGAATGTATGTTCATTATCTAAACATACAATTACTATTAAAATTATTTTTTGATAAATCGAACTATCGATATCTCGTAATGGGACACATTGTACGTGTAAGGTATTGTGCTTCTCAAACCTGTTGCACTTACGAAAGAGACATTTCTCATGATATATATTTCATTTTTAGAGATCCTTCTCGAGGATGATTCAAAAGGTCACGCCATGCTGGTCGTCAACATCCTTCATCGTAAACGTTTCCATGTCTGATTATTTCAGGAAGCATTAGAAATCAACTAGGAGAAAGATCAACTCCTCCGAATGGTCGGAATTCATCAGCGTCAGTCGTGCACGGAGGAAACGATATTAGCTTTTAAAAAAATAGCTTTCTCTCTTTCTTTCGCTCTTTTCTTTATCACCATTCATATTCAAAAAGGATTCACACGATCACCGAGTATCAAAAAGGAACGCAATCTTGATTCACCGCCAATTTTCGTTCACACTCGAGTCTACCTTTCGTTCGTACCTCGTCCACCTAATCAAACGAGAAAATATTCTTTCTTCACGGAGACTATCTACAAAAAAAAAACCGACCCGAAACACTTGTTTCTGCGTGCGAATGAAAGCAACGGTAGTCAAAACGAGGATACTTTCCGTCATCGTGGTCCTACGAGGGGGAGAGTTCGTCTGATTAATTCAAGGAGATACTCATCCTCTTCCTGTTGTCGAAGCGTTTGTCTTCGAAGGGGCGTTAGAGCAGTCGCATTCTGTTAGAAAATTCTTTTTCTGAAAAATTCTACCTTGGAAAATTCTTTGCTGGAAGATTTTCTGTTGGAAAATTTGGAAAATTCGCTATTAACAAACTGTTCTTCGAAACGAATTCTACGTACGAAAGTTATCCCCTAGAAGATTTTCTATTTGGAAAATTCTTCGTTTAAAAATTTCTTCTTGGAAAACTGTTTATTGAAATCTTCCTGAAAAGCTGTTGTGGTATTTCCTGCTAGAGATCGCTCGATTCCCATTGAAAACGTGTAACGTTGCATCAGACCGGAGCGCTAGGTCGTCGAAGGAGCGACGAGAGCAACGAGCGTCGCGGTGGTCGCCTCCATGGGCGACGCAGACGACGCTCGACGTCCGCGTAGGACGACGTCTGCCCCTTGGCGACCTCCAGAGGTCAAGCTTTCTCTTCTTCCTCGTCGATCTCCTCCGACGATTCTGAAGAAGATGTGATTAGCGCGGTCGAGAGACTTGGAACTTGGGCTGAGTAGGGGAACGAGCTCATTCGGAGTCTTTGGGGATGATTCCAACACTCTGGTAACGAATGGGAGCCATCTTCTGTTCCCCTTTCTGAATTGGATCGTTCCATGGAGCACAGTTCCATCATCGATACTCGTCTGGTTGGAGGTTTCTTTCCCCCTACTGGAAAAATAGTTAATCCTTTATATTTATTATTTTGTGTTAGTATTAGCATACAGATGTTATAGAGAGTCGACTCTCGTTATAATGCCACACGCAATATAGGAAAAGTATTCTGTTTAATGATAGGAATTGAATAAGAGTAGGTCATAATCAGCAGCTGATGATCTATACTCTATCGTTCAGATCGTAATTAGGATGGAGTCAGGGTGGGCCTCTCTTCCTTCCAAAAAAATGTGGAGTAGTCTCTTCATCATTTTTAAATTCCAAGATTCTAAAGTTATAAAATTCTAAAATCTTGAGATTTTGATATTTTAATATCCTAATATCCTAATATTCTAATATTCTAAAATTCTATGGATCTGGCCCACCCCTAAAAAGCGAACAAATCAAGAATATTTCAAATTTTCTTATACTTTTTTATTTCTATTCTACTATATTTATTGATGCATTTGCTAAATTAAACACTCTCATTGTCTCCCTGTTTTCATAACATTTCGTAATATTGCTTCAAGCTTTCATGGATTCTTGTTATATAACCTTCATTTACATCTGGTAACCGGTGGTGCTTACGCAATTAAAAGCTTTCTGCCACAATGAATCTCGTTAACGCGTTAAATGAACTCTGAAACGAGGCTATTAAATTCCACAATTGAAAATATATTTTACTAGTAATTAATTGAACTGTGTTCATCTTAAATGGATGTGCGTACTTCGGAGAGCACGATTGGAAGAACAAATTTAGCAAAGTACTTGAAGTTCACTCGAGTAATAGAGAAAACATATATTCTCGTTTAGTCAGCTTCGATTTTTCTCTCGAGGAGAATGATGTTTGTACTCACTCGAGGTTTTCGTGGGCGATTCTATCTGCTCTGTCTCCGTCAACATGAATTCGTCACGCTCGTCTACGGTTTCCTGGCAATCCATACTGTCTGGGGTGCAAACACTTTCTCGTCGAAATAGACCAATCACTGATTGGATTTTTGGCTGCTCGATTCCACCTTTCATAATAAAAAAACATGTTAATAGAGAAGTTAATGGAATCTTTAGGGTGCTTCGTTTGACCTCCTGAAATGTATTCGTTGTTGATTTTTTCTTTTTTAAAGTAAATTAAATTTATAGAGGAAATCATTTACTTCAAAGATGTAATTTATGATACTTCAGAAATCTGTAAATATTTTTTACCGAGTTGAGATTTTCACAGGATCTGAGTTAAAATGATTATTTTATTGATCTTAGTGACCCTATTGATTCAACGCTTCAAGTAATCCATAGAAATTTTCATCATTTACAAAGTAATTATAGGTTGAACCTGGGGTTGTAATATTTCTGATTATAGTTGAAATAGTCATTTATTATCCTTCAAAACTAGAACTTGATAAGACTTGTTCATAGTAATAACAATTTATCAATGCTTCCTCTTGAAAGTTGCAAAATTCAAGGCTCTGCTTGCTTAATACTAACAAACGTTTTTTATTTCAGGTGACCAGAACAATTGAAACACCCATTACACTGCGGAAAGGTGAAACAGGTGCTCGTGAAAGGCCAAAGCAACAAAAAAACAGAGATTATACCCGAGGTATAGGTAAGATAGAATCAAAAGAATTCAGTAGAATTTCCGGTGTGGTGCAAAACTAATCGTGTAACAGTGGAATGTTTCTATGTGTGTGTGTGTGTGTGTGTGTGTGTATGCGTGAATATCAAAAGGGATTGGGTAACCCAAAATCAGACTTGTTCGTTGGAAAAGAAGAAAGAAAACGATAGAAAAGTCTGAAGAACTTGATGCATAACATTTACATGTTCTCCGGCCGGAAGTCCGAGGCTAGTATCCTCCGAGCTCAAGCTGGCTTGGCCTCACAAATACAGCTCTCCTGTAAAGCAGCGTTTTTCATTGTTTACGCAATTTATCATAAAACTTTAATCGACCGAATGAAATCATTCTTCAATAATTTTTAATAACATCCAAACATTTATTTAACATAACCCTTTGATATAGAAAGTAAAATTGATCTCACAAGCACTTAAATAGACTAAACATCACAAAATTAATTAAAAATTAAAGAGAAATTATACTGAAAAATGGACCTGCAATACAGTAGAAAACACCTAAAACAACAGGAAAAAATTCAAAAACTGTGGATAGCAATTTCGAGGATTACCCAAACCCTATTGAAAGAATTGTGTTAGTCTTCAGAGTAATAGTGTTACAGTGAATCAGTTTTATAAAGCGTTAGATGCTTCGACACTTGCAATTTTCCATTTCAAATTAGAATATAATGCAAGTATCGAAACCATCGTTTCTTAAACACTCTATAGATTCACAAAGTGTCTGTTTTCAAGAGTGTAATGTAGTGGAAACTGGCAGCTGTATCAATATCATATCACTTCCGTTTTATCTTTGATATTACAGGCTTTATTTAATCAATCGTACCTAGAAATGTTGCAGATGGAGAACTATAAGCCAGGTACTCTTTATTGGAACACCAGGCAGGAAATTCGTTCTGTTTAATCGGATGTCCGGATTCGTAATCGTCCTCTCTCTTCCATGGTAGCATGGTTTCCGTAGCTGTCGGTGTGGTTACCCTGTAGCAATCTACAATTTTTTCAAAAAAATCACCACACGTTCAACGAATTTCGTGAAACGAAAGTTTTTCCAATTTCCAATTTTAACGCTTGTACAGATAACGCTTTAATTGAAATCCTATCGACTCACCATCGCGTCCCAGCTTCATATCCGGATCATCGGTATTGATGGTGTCCATCGAAGTGGTGGTGGTCGCTCCATGGTGATTTTCCACGTTCACGTTCGACGAATCTAAAGAAATCATACGATAAGAAATTCCTCGATGAATCGAACGAGGAATTAGTTCCTTTCATCCGGCGTAAGATTGCAACGAATCTAAATTTGAATACAGCAGGGGGGAGAGCGACTAATTCTTCAAAGGATGCACTGAATAGCGCGAAAATTCGTCCAGAAAGTTGGCGCTCTAACGAGCCAGCCCAGAAACTTGTCAAATGAGAATCGAGGTAAAAGAAAAAAAAAGATGGTCGACTGCTTACCGGAAGTACGAGCCGTGAAAGTTATCGCAGAGTCCCAGTCCTCTTTGCTCGAAGGCTTTGAGGTGTCCCCGTTCTCCAGCTCGTACAGCACCCCGTTGATGTAATCTGCGACCAATTAAAATTCACCTGGTGAAACGAGCCTTTGCCGGGGGACCGGTATCGATTATTCTTTCGCCAAAATTACCTTGGGTGAACAGCTTCGTCGAGCCGTTCTGCTGGAACTCGGGGAAACTCACGTGGTTCTGTTTGCCGTCCTGCACAGAAGAGAAAAGGGGAAAGGATTTTTAATTACGAATTGCTTTAATTGCAAATCGCCAAAGAAGCCGAGTGAATTGCAACCCTGTGGTAAATAGAATGACGACCTCTTACTTTGAGCAATTTTTTACTGCGCTTGTGACGATGCTTGTGCTCTCCCATCATACGCCGGATGTTCATGTGCATCTTATAATTGACTTGGGTCGAGAGGTCGCGATCGTTCACCGCGTGTCGACTGTAGCTGAAACGACGATGCTGCAAGAAATTTAATTTTGTTTTTCAGATAATTTCTTCTCCGTATAAAACCATCTCTTTGACATTAATTAATTTTCATTCGACATTTACAAGGATAAAATGAATAGTCGAAAAGTTTGACTATTCACAAGTATCCTAGATTCAAATTGTACGCCTCTGTGGTATATTTCAAGAGAAGGATATCGACGAGCGAAATTTTGCAACGATGCGATATCCTCTAAACATTCCTCGTCAGCAAATGCTCACAGCCTCCTCGGCATGACTTTCCTTACCCTCTTGTAAGGTTTGCAAAGTTCCTCGGCCAATAAGTGGTGGATCCTGGCGTCCGTCAAGTCCTTCTTGGAAGGGTTGTACTCCAGCTCTTGGAGATCAATATTCCAGCCCGTATCGAGCTGGCTGCAACTTGGACTGGAAGGAGAAAGAATGAGACTGCATTTTATGATGGGCTACCACTTCAAGATCGATACTCTACTTCGAGCTTGCTTTGCCGTTCAATTCAGATACAACGCAGACTTATCTTTGATTATACTTCTTTTTACGATGTGCATACGAACTGAATTCTATTCTATCTACTATTCTACATAGTGATATCTATGGAGTTTTGTTCGTGGATGAAATGGATACGTATTGAATTATTACAAATATCAAATGGACAATTTAGAAATATCAAATGTTTGAAAGGATATGGCATTTGTAGTATATCAGTTAGATATCTGGTTATTACTATTAACCCTCAGACGACGGACCATGGAGAGAGCTGCAATTTTATAACGTTTAGATTCTAGATACATGTTGAATAATTTAATTATTTATTCTGTGCATCGTCAAACCAAGAAAATAAGATTATTCTCCGGTGTATTTCAGCCGTTTCATAGGTAGGAAGAGAATTTTCCATCACATTAATTACGACATTAAGTCAAGCAAAACAGAAAGAAATCTACCGACGTCAGAGATAAAAAAGAGTCTGGTTCACCGTTCTGTTGTATCTCCGACAGAAAACTTTCTCTATAATTAATATGTTTTCTCTGGAGCATCGAGAGGATGCTATGCACCTGTTGTGATCAAAGGAACATTCTTTGCTTTTCCTATTGTGCGAGTAAACAGGTCAAGTACGAGGGAGATAATTCAGTGCGCCACGGATCGAGGAGCAACGAAAAAAGGATGAGACGAACCAGGAATAAAATGAAAAACAACAACAACCGTACCTTCCATTGAATTGGCCCGTGTTGCTATAGTTGCGGAATATCGCGGACATGCTTTCAGTACCGCTGATATTACCAATGGTGGACGCGTTCCTCCTTATGTAATCCATGGCGTCTTTCATCGCGAGTTTAGAGTACGTCTCCAATATTTTCGGCTCGGCTCCATAGTGATTTCTCACCAGATAAGGACGAATAAATTTGTTATCGAACCGTTTGAACCTGAAAATAAAAAGAGAAGAAAAGATAAGAAAAGATAAGAAGAGGAAGAAATAGTAAAATCATTCGTAAAATAAAAATTGTTAAACGATAAGAAATGTTCCTCAAAGGATACATTATTTCGTGATAAATGTAAGAACGTATCTTCACGGAACAGTGAAATTTAAGCATCCTGTGACGTGAATTCGTGAGAAGAGCAAACAGCGCAAATCCCTCAACGATTTATCAACCTTACAGTCAACGTTACAGGCAACATCCGAGCAACATTCGCCCCGCTATTCATATACCTGATTATAATCTATTATTATAGTCGAATTTAGTAGCCATTCAGATCGTACGTGTCCCGCGAGAGCATTTTGAGCATCTCGTGAAACGTATGTATCCCAGTAGAGGCGTAAGGGTTAATAAATCTCGGAACCAACTCGCTGAAACTTATGGTTTGGCTTTTCTATTATAACAAAAATTATCGATAACTTAAACATTCAATTTTATAATTTGCTATTTTACATCATTGTAATATTGACAAGAATACTAATTCTGTTTCAGGTTTCTCCAAATTCGAAGACTTTTTAAAGAGAGGAAGGGTGGATTTCATATTTGAAGATTAAGTCAATATAGGAGCGAGTGGAGGTACAAATAACTAAAAATTATGTGTATAATTTAGAATAAGAAATAGGAGGTTCTAGTTGTCTACTGTTAATGAAATTTATAGTGTCAATCATCTACGACCCTTAACCCTCGGACGACGGACCCTGGAGAGAGCCTCAATTTTAATGTAATTTCGTATTTGATATTATTTTCATTTCCCATAATTTGTACTATTTCTTTAAAAATTCTTTTGTTTAATGATTATACCTACATTTAATTTTAGGTTTGGATCACCATTGATCTAGACTTCAATTATTAATTAAATCAAAATTCTCTAAAAATGTATTTTAAAAAAGTATACGTACTTGTCTCGCAGATGGTAATTTCCGTGTTTGCCCAGGATGTCTTCGATCCCGGCCATCACATGGTCCATTATCTGAAAAACCGTGTAAGTCATTTCCGTTTAGCTGGAGCTCATTATTTCCGTTTTACCCGGCTCGTATAATACGTATACATATGCAGCCCCCCCGAAAAAAAGGAGAGAGTATCAGCCACGAAGGAACACGTTCTTATTTACTGGCCCATTGTTCTTCTCTCGACACGTTCATTTACAAAAGGGTACCCCAGGTGAAAATCAATGCGATCCTTGCACGCGTTCGCGACCAACGAATTATTGATTGCATCGTTCTCCCACTGCATCGTGGTCTTACTGTTATTCCTTTTTTTTTTATTTGCCGATATTTACTTTAACGATAACAGCGTGCAACCTCTGTAATTTATACAACGTTCGCGGTTGTACGACCTTCTTTGTGCACGCCTGCCGTATTTTTTTATTAAACGATCGATCCTTCGTTCTCGCATGATATACCGTCGAAATCTAGCTCGTTACGCTCGATCGCCTAGCAGGATATGCATACGAGGACGAATAGCACACGTACCCGCTCGTGAATCCTTTCGTTCATGGTCGGTTTCTTCCTTTCAGCCCTCTTCACGTTCAGGATCTTCACGAGAGGTTTGATCGTGATACCCTGAAAGCAGAATGTTCTGATAGCTCTGGATCATTGATGGGGAACGTGAGTGGAATAATAAACGATCGTAAGGTTTTGTTATTTTGTTGATACTAGGGATGTGCGAGTACCCGAAAATTCGGGTTGGAAATTTATTTCGAGTACGGGCAGAACCTCGAAACTATGTCCAGCATATAAAATTGTTCGGGTACCCTCACACTCCTGATTATTTGTAAAAAGTGTTAAATTTAAAATTTTTATTCATAGCACAGTCTAGCAACTAATATGATAATTTGTTTGTTATTTCATAGGTGATCTATCTGTTTCATTTGTATGAAATTATTTCAGTACACATCTGAAATTCCTTCGTCCATTCAACCATGCATATTTTACAGGCAACTTTTCCTTCCGAGTTTCCGTATATTCCCGCGAAATTAGATGCAACCCCTGATGCAACGTAAAACTAAGATTATGCTAAACGATGCTCTAAGCACGTTAAACATATCCCCACAGGATAGTAAATTTAACTCGGAACTAGCGCGGTAAAGTTCAAATGATCCATGCTGATCTTTCAAAGCGTCGCGTCGAATGTCTACCACATTAGAACAGTAGTTAATTAGAAACCGCGTACTCGACATTCTTAGTCAGACCGAGCTTCTAATCTTGCATACGGAATAATATTCTCAATCGATACGATGAGTACGGTGCTTCTCAATATCAAATCTTATTATCGTTTTGAAATATTAAAAAACAAAACATGAGCTTTACTTAAAAAAATTTCCTAGTTCAATTTATCTTCTTGATTAATTTCCGTCGTCGACACAACCGAACACCATCTTTCTCTCTCGCGAAACGCTTCGAACAAGTTTCTTCCAAGTTCGTGCCCTCTTGGAAGAAAAAGTCGACGATGTTTCCTTCGAGCAGAATTGAAGCGTTTAGTGTGTAAGTTATCGGTACGGATCGAGCCGACGTTGCGAAGCGTGTTCAGGAACGCCATCAGCATCGAGTTTCCGATCGATTGCGCGACAAAGTCGATGGTGTTTTTAGAATTAATGGGACTTCGATCAGCGACGTTCGCAAACAGGACGCTCCTTCTCTGAGTAGCTCTGTTTTTTTTTTCTCCATTCCCTTTATCGTCCACGTACTCTTCAACCTTTTGCAGCTCTAATTAAGCTGCCACTTTTATTTGCCGACTGTTTTCTTTCTCTTTTTATTTTTATTCAGATTCGATTTAATTCCAGCCTATAAAGGTTGAAATTAAAGCGAACAGTTATCGAGAAAAAGGGGGCTATTGCTGATAAATTATGTAGTAAAACGAGGCTGAACGGGGGTTATGAATGGGGCTTTAATCTTAATTTAGCCGTGAATGAAATGGCCAGGCGCAAATGTTTTTGCATAATGAACATGTGCGTAGAACAGTTGATTGCAGTTTCGTTCGTGGTACTCCCTCGAATTTATACGCGAACGATTCTTTCGGGCTACGTGAAAAGTAGAAATTAATGGGATTCGTTTTGTTTAACAACCGAACGCTTCTCACGGCTTTCTTTGTTAAATATAAATGAAACTTTTTCATCGGATAAGTTAATTGCATTCTCTTTAATTGTGATGGATGCTTCGTGTGCCGTTGATTCTTTTAAATAATGTATTAGCCGAGAGTTATAACTCGGACAATCAGAATCGAGTATCATGAAAGATTGATACATCAAACTTGGAGATAATAGATGTATTAATAATATAAACTTTGTTCTAGACTTTCAGTAGAATGGGATACTGGAGTAAGAAAGAAAATTCGAAATCTGGGTGATGGGCACTGTACAAAATTAGAAAATGAAGGTGTTAAACTTGTTTTATTTTTTTAATAAAAAAAGTGGTATTTGATTTTTAATATTATAGTAAATTTAAAAAATTAGAAAATTAGAAATATAGGAACTAAGTATTATGAGAAAGAAGAAGATAAATAAATCTATCAAATTTTATTTTATTTTTTTATTAGAATAGAATACTATAGTATACACTTACTATTGTCTAGTAAGAGAAAAAAGAAAATGCTCTTTTGCAGAAAAATTGTAGAAAATAATCGTTCAGAGAGAAGAATGACTATGTCGTAAGACTTTATTCGTATTTTCGTGTCAGTCGTAATGGGAAGAAACCTCTGAAACTTTATGGTATATAAAAGAAGGAAAGGGACGTATTCTTTTGGTGGCACGCACATATATTTGTGTTGGTGAATGTGCTGGTACATTCGTGATCAAATCAGACTTCCCTAGAGAAAACGATGATATAGTAGAAGTAGAAATTCTCAAAACGTTAATTTTGACGATATTAATATCAAAGGTAATTTAGAAGAAAATAATATAACTTTTAATTATTAAATATTATAAAATTTGATATAGAACTGAAAAGAAATAATAGAAAATAAATATTAAGAAGGCATCCTCCCCTACATTGTCATTCTCCTCGGAAACGTCTAAGGGGATGGGCGGAAATCCGGGACATCACCATTTTTCCTACAACAGCCTGATTTGGTTGCAAGTGTACTATGCGTGGATTGTCATAAAATAGCTACTTCGGGACAGATTCCAAGTTTATCCCTAGTTGCCTATGATGACAAAATGACTGAGGCATGTAATAAACGTTCTAGTATTCTATGGCTAACATACGCTGTGATAACAACAGAAATCCTGATAATAGACTGCGTCATATTTTCCTACGTTCTAGGTAGTCCTTTGTGAAATATCATTCAGTAAATTCTACCTAGTAATGTCCGAACTAACGTATGTACCTACATACGTCCATAACTGTACAAACGTAGCTTTGTTTCGCTTTTACCTTTGCTTTCGTTTGATATATTATCTGCAGATTACAGAATTTTTTAGCTTTCAGGTAGTATACCATTACTAGCAGGAAATTGTATCCTCTTTAATGAATTATTTTTTGCGAGAAATGATACTGTGTACAGTGCAACAAAAATATTATAAGAGGAGATAAATAATATTTTTTCAGAAGTTAGGTAGAATTTCCACTTTGATGCTGTATCCTCGCGTATTCGTGATTGATCATTATACTAATTGCAATTGGAAAATTAGTAATTTCATAGCACCTGTTGAATTTTATTAATATTCTCCTATTTCGAACTTCAAGGCGTTGAAAATTGCACAAATATATGGGTAATATTTTTGAGAAATTATATTGTCAAAACGAAACACATAATTTTATTATTCTATGTTAATCAAGCATCTCTTCAAAGTTTCTTGATTAAAATACATAGTTTAATTTTACAAAGTGTCACACTTCAAAGGATCGCTTATCCGTTTAGAATAAACACCCAATTAAAAATTTCAAACAATCTCGGCTTAATACAATTTCTTTTTACTCGAATGAATTATGGATAAGTCTTGTCTAGAAGTTTCTCAGTTTGTCAAACAATTTAGCATTATTCATAGAAGAATATTGAAGAAACTTTTTATCATCTACGTCCACAATATTTTTTCCCACCCTGAATTGTATATCCTTCAATTTCTTCTTCAAAGTTCTGCATATGTTCTGCCTGTTACTTGGAGTGGTGGAAAATTTATAAAGAAAATTTCGATCTCGCGATACCACCGAATGGCTCCTCGAGTTTAAATCAACATTTTTCGAAGTTTACATCTCGCTAGCCCCAGGGCATCAAAGCTACGTGAAGCCCACCCTGGGATATGTTGATTTAAAGAAAGAGCATCCGACTTATCGTTCCATCCTCTTTGAATCAAGCAACCTCTTTTATTGTTATACCTCTATATAACTGTGAATGCAACGAAAATATTCAAATGTATTACCTTGAGTGCATCGTGTATTATTTCAGCATAGCATCTGAAGTTTAATTCAAACTTTTATGGGGGCACACTGACAAACAAAACGTAGGAAATATTAAACCACCTTGGTAAAGTCAGTTTTGTAGTCTGCAAGGTATTTCTACGACACGTCAGAATAATCCTAATGAAAGATATAAAACAGAAAGTTGTAACTAGGAACGTAAAAAAAAAGCTCCCTTCCTGAAAATAACGAAAAGCTTTGGCCAGACCGAGATATAATATAATGTAATCAATTTCTATTATCCTCCCCCCTCCCCCCAAATTTTTGTTTCAAAGAAACGTTAACAGACTTCTTAATTAGGTATCAAAGTAAAATTAAAATTACATGAACTTCTTAAGCAGATTTTCAAAGTAGAATGAAAATTA